GCCATTCAGCTGCGTGAGTGAGTGAGGCACCTTGCACAACTCAAACCAATGGAAATCTTTATGCTCATTGTGGAGAATTTATTCCCTCCCTTTCGTAAGGTGGACGCAGCGAACGGCAAGCGCTTTGCGTTTCGTGAGACGGCAGAAGTAGCCGGCAAAATTGCAAAGCCAATCCCGACCACGCTTGCTTCGGACGCAAGGGCAAGCTAAGTGTCATAATCTTTCAGTTTGCCTTCGCCCTGGCATGATCCACGTGAAACTTTGTAAACACCGTGGCTACAGCAACGTCCTTCTCAATCGCCCCCCCCCCCCCCCCCCCCCAGCTCGCCTGCCGGCGCTTGGTAGCCACTTCAGCTATTGCAATATCAACCAATCCTCCCACTATTTCGACTCGAGTAGTCGTTGTTGTCGGCGCCCGTAAGCCCTCAAGCATTGCAATGACTTCCATCCAGCCTGCGTTCATGCGAAACTTCGTTTACTGTTCCTGCCCCAGGTCTCCACCAAGGCGGCGGAAATCGTGAAAACTTCGACTCCAGGCCAATGGGGTTGCACGTCCAAGCTTCCGAGAAGCCTTGAGTGTCGTTGCAATACATCAGGCCGATCTGCACTTTGCACGTACTTGCAACATTCCGCAAAAACTCCTAGATGCTTGTTCTCAGCAGCATCAGCTCTGTCCCTCACCGGAAGGACGCATGAAGGTCTTCATGGCTTTCCTTGGCCAGCTGGTGGCGGCTGCGAGATGCGTCTCACAACGGATCGCGTAAAGCATTGACATATGCAGTGCAGTGATGCTTGACTTTGGTTGTGTTTTTGCTGAGCTGAGGCGTTTGTGTTCTTACTCCTGATCAGGCTAATAGGACGGCACGTGATGGCCAGAGACTTCTCGAAACCCTAGGACCCTAGGACAGCCGGCTTTCAGTTCGCCTTGTGAAGCTCTTAGCCTTTGCAGACATCGCCAGCAAACTCTTCGCTTCCAGCAAATCGCACGCGTCCGTCTCCAAGCGGTGGACGTCTGCCGAACGGTTCACTCCGACTCTTGAAAGAAGACTCGCAGCCACACCGGTTTGCCGTTTCAATACGAGTTCTATGATGTGCGAGACTCAGAGGGCCCCATCAGGTTAAGGTTGGAGAACCTATGACATAGTCTGAACTCCTGGGACTTTCCTACGCTTTGGGTTCTGAGCCCAAGTGAAATGGTGGACGTCAGCTTCACTCCGACTCTTGAAACAAGACTCGCAGCCGCCCCGGTTTGCGGTTTCAATACCAGCTCTATGATGCGCGAGACTCAGAGGGCCAGGAAAACATCAGCACATCCGATCTTTTCAGGTTTTTAGGCGATGCACTGCACAAGACACTGCCAACATCCAGACAGACTCGCATGCTGCAGGCTCCAGTGCTATGGCGGGATTAGGATTGATGCGGTTGATGATGGATATTCGGCGTGACTTTGCTGTACCAAAAAAAGCCCAGGGTCATGCAAGATTTCTAGATCAACAGAAGGATTCTTTTTTCAGGTTGTATGTTTTGTCGTGGTGTAGATATGGACCATGGCTCCCCCAGATTACCGAATGTTAGGGTTAGCGTTTAAAGTATCAGCCCTTCTCGCTTTAAAATCAATGGAAGGTTCCTTGAAGGTTCTTTTGAGACCGCGTCCATGCCGATGGAGCCAACCGCAGCGGGCGCATCTGGGCAGGCCTTCATCTGCATAGTGCAGGTTGCGGGGCTTGTAGGATTCAGGAGCTGATCAAGTGGTTTTTATCATGAGCTTCGCTTATGGCTCATCCCTTACAGCTCAATGTCGCACCAACATAGTAGACGACACCTAGAGTACAATCGAGGTGACGCGTTTTCCAAAACCCGGGCTAGCAGTGTCTCCTTCCATTCATTTGGGGACAGGAAGCCTTGGCAGGGATTTTTATGAAGGCCATTCGATCCTGAACTTGGGTTCACAGATTTAGGGCTTGAGGCAGCCGGAATGCAATACGCACATTAGCCAGCTACATCCTGCGCAAAATACACAAGCCAAGCCGGGCTTCGACATGCACAACAACCGTCAACGCCCGAGACACCCACAACCTAATGAAGTCCAAAGTCAGATTCGTCAAAGTTTTGCGAAACTCCCTCAGCCTGAACCCTGGGCCCTGACCCAAAGCCTTGAGTCCTAAACCAGTCGAGTGCCTCCAACCTCCCTGTGCCCACAGGATGCCATGACCCAGTCGCTGGGAGCGTCCCCGCCACGATTGCGCACGCGCCGTGCTGGTCTTTGCTTGCTGCTGTTGTTGTTATTCCTTTGCTTGTTGAGCAGGATCATTGCTCTGCATGAGTCTTGTTTGCCATTCTTGTTGCTGGGCCAGGTTCTTACAAATGTCAGAATCATCCTAATAAACCTGAATAGCCCCCTCAACGAAGGATCCACCAAACACCTCGGCAGACTTCGGCGTACCCCGGGCCGCACTAAGTAGTATCCGGCCGGGTATCGGTAGCACCAGTACGTGCAAGCCGTGCTAGGCAGCAATGAGTTTCTTATGAGGCAATGAAACTTGATGAGTGATGTGAATTGCCTTGACTACATCTTGGTCTTCGTTGACGCTTTTTTGGCCAGCTATGTTTTTTCCATTGGCATTTGCATCTGTTCACTCGCTTGCTGTCCGCAGGACTTTGGCGCGCCTTGGGTTATCTGCAGTTTCATTCCCACAAGCTTCAAATGCCTGAGCCGTGATGGCGATTTGGGCATGATCCCCCTATAGCAGTACAAGTAGAAAAGAGTACTCAACGCGACAATCAGTATACCATGGATGATAATGACACGTTGTAACAGGTAAGGCAATTGTGGTGACTGTGGTTGGTCTAGCAATGTTGGTACACATAGTAGTTGTCTGTTTTTTGTCACTGTATAGTGATGATGGCGATGACAATCAGCAGCAGGGCAGAACTCCAACACAAGAAGGCATGCCAAATAGCAGAGGCAGATAAAGCTTGCAATACGAGCCACTCTCATTGACGCCTGCAAAATCTAAGTTCAGCTAAGGCTTTGGGCTTTATGCAGCGAACAAGCAGCCCAGAGCAACAACAAAATGCAGAATTGGCTGATCACTTTCACAGGCATGCAGAAACAGTCTCCGACAAGACTCCGAGCCTCCAATGTGTGAAAGTTTGCCCCATACTTCTTTTGTTTTGGACAAGCTTCTGTAACCACCAGACCTTGCAACTGAGTCCTGCGCACCGCGCCGTACATTTTTACAGTAGACAACTTGCCATTGCCAGGAGCTTTGCATCGAGGCCAGCATTGAACCGGGAACGGGCGAGCACCCAGCCGGCAAGAGTATGGCACTTGAGGCTGTAGGCCGATGTTAAGGTCGTTGAGCCCGGGTTCGGGTACCACGTCGCTTACCAGTAGGCTCTTCTGGTGCTGATGTGCCTTGATTCCCCCTGGCTCTCGCTGCCACAGCCTCCCAGCGGTAAGAGCAATGAGAACTTGCAGCACATGGATGATGAGAGCGGTTATGAAATCATTGCCAGGGCTGTGTCTTCTGTAAGAACTACAAAGCAGCAGTAGTAGTTGTTGTACGAGAAAACATCTCGGAGCTAGCTGAAGCTGTGACAGCCCAGCAAACACGGGTGCTCCTTTTGTCACACGATTTCACAGCAACAACCCTCGATGCGCATAGCGGGCTGACATTGGAAGCAGCAAGGTTGGCTGCACACTGCATTACAATTACACTTGCGCTTCCTTTCGCTATGCTCATCAACAAGATCATGCGAGAGAGAGATGGCTCCTACTTAGGATCCGGAAGCTTAAACCCCAGACCGCAAAACCCTGAATTTTGACGCATGCCTGCGGGATCCAAGGCTTCTGTGCTTGAGAGGCCTGTGTGTCCAATATGACATTGTAACAATATGTGCCGGCTGATACCTCTTGCCAAAGATTAAGAGTTTTGGATGGCTTAAGGCTCAGGTACGAGCTTTTTTCCCTAAGATGCGACGCAGTAGTGGATTGGTGTCGGTGGTCTTCAATTCAAGACGTTAAGACTTTAAGTTTCATGCTGAGAGTCAACGACACGTCCACCCATTCGCCAAAAACTGCAATGGATCCAGATGTGTAGGTGCAGACGTGAACATCCCTCCATGGCAATCCTTCTCGCCAGAACAAAGCTTTCCGCTTTTTGCTAGATGGATATATGCCCACTGTCAATATGAATAGATCCCCGTGTGTGACAGCGGTGTTGTGATTCTTTGAGCGGTGACTGCGTTGAGAGCCTCCAACACGATCCCAGCACCTCACGGCCTCGGAACATGTTGTCGCATAGACGGGCCTTTTGCAAAAGCATGAAACTGTGCTGCTCAGCATGCGCAGGATGATGCAGTTGCCGAGGCAAGGGGCCCATGAGTGGGTCAAAGCTGGCTTCGATGCTTAGGCAGTTTAGGGCTCTTTGAAGGTGCGCCTCTAGTAGCTTGTCAAAAAAACCAACAGTAGAAGCCTTGCTTCGTGAACGTTCAGGCGACAGCCTAGCACCTCAGTCTAGATTCTGTTGCAGAGTTTTTTGCAGGACCCGGTTGCTCTTGCAGTCCCAGGCATCAAGCCGGAAATTACTACGTTCCAGCCTCCTGTCAAGTATGCTGGTCTGGGTGCCGGCAGGATGTCATGAGGACTGGATGGGGTATGTTGCAAGGCTTCGCGACAGATCACGACAGTTAGGGAGCCCCGCTCAGACGGAGCAGCGCAAGTAGAGCCAGTGCGGGCGCGCACGGGGGGCGCGCACGGGTTTGCAGAGGATCGTTCTTTTCCTGGCTATTTGACACACGGTGTCCGCGGGAAGCCTATTTCGGCTTGGCGGCGAGGAAAGGCCGCAGCTTTAGGCATGGCCTCTCTCATAGCTTCCGCCGCCTTCGCCGGGGCGCTGGCCACCATGTGCAGGCGCCGGGCCCGGGCATCGGCGGCGGCCCGGAGCCATGGGAAAGGACAGTCTTCGCATCTGGACGCTCTGAGAGATGACATCCGCAATTCCGAGGCCAGGATTGCAGAGACTTCCGCTCCCCTCAAAAATGGGTTCCTGAGGTACTAGCTTGTTGTTTTTTCTGCGGTGCAAAGGGCTTGGCCAAAACAAGCGCCAGGATCTTCCGTCGGAGAGGAACCTGGAGGAGGCCCAGAAGCTGGACCCGATGAAGAACCGGATCTTAGCCTTGAGGATCATTTTGGGCGTGGGAGTCGCTTTCGGGGCCTTCCAAGCTCCATGGCAAGCTCTGCCGGTTCTCATCGACCGGAAGATTGCCGCGGACCCCGCCTTGCCATTGAGCGAAAGTCAGTTGAAAATCAGTGAAACCTTCGTTTTCGTTGGTTGGCTTCTCGGTGCAGTGGCACTGCATCCCTTGATGCAAAGGCTCGATCTGAAGCAGGTGCTAGTCCTGCTTGGTGTTACTATGCTGTTTCTCTCCGTGGCCTCGATTACCGGGCCTTATGTCACCATGCTCAGCATGACCTTGCTGTGTGGGGTGAGGCTGCTTCACGGCATGTGCCTCAACATCCAAGGTGTCCAGTACATGTACATGCAAAACTGCTTCCCGGGCTATGGAAGCCAACTTTGCGCCATGGTGAACACGCTCTACGCCCTGGTCGCTGTCTTGATGGCCATGAGCTGTGGGACTTTGACGCTTTCTTGGGACTGGCGCCCCGAGGCCTTGATCTGGTTCGGCCTCCCCATGGTTCTCGGCCTCTTCGTGGCCTTCCCAGATCTGCTTCAGGTGGTCTTCTCGCTCCCTTCTGCCCTTGCAAGAAGCCCAAACACAAGCCTCATCGGCGATGGGGAAAGCAAGGACAAGAGCGTTCAAAGCTCTGGCTTGGAGGAGGCTGAAACCATGAGCCGCTCCATGTACCGGGATTTATGCCACCTCTCGCTTTGCTTCGCTTGCACGGTCTTCGCTTACTACGGCTTGAGCTATTCCCCGGACTCACTCTCCACAAATCCTTTTCTCAGCGCCTGGCTCATCAATGCCTCAGACATACTTGCATGTGTGCTGTCCAGCCGCGCCGGGGCCTTTGGCCGAAACCGAGCACAGATTTGGGGCTTCCTTGTGGCGGGCGTGAGCCTGGTTGCCTGCGCTCTCGGCACCGTGGACAGCGTCTTTGTGAGCCCGAGTTCAAGGAGCAAAAGGTTTTCCTCTTTTTTGGCTTGTTTTAGGAGACGCGTTTTGAGCCCCTAAACAACCCAAGGATCTCCATGGCGATCCTGGCGAGGGTGGCCTTGTCCGTCGTCTTTGTGACCATCTACGTGGCCTTGGCAGAGGTCTTCCCGCCATGGTGTCAGAAGACAGCCCTGCCTACGTGTGAGATCATGGCGCGGGTTGGTGGCTGCTTCTCACCATCCGTTGGGGCTCTGCCAGTGCATCTTAGCCTGCCGCTTTTTGGGTTAGCATGCTTGCTAGCTGCGAGGGCATCCGCAAAGTTGCCAGACAAGTATGCTCCAAAACAGTTTTGACCCTTCTGTGTTGGCTTCTGCCTTGAAGTGAGGACATGCCCCTCAGACCTAGTTTGAGAGGATCATGATTTTCTCGTCATCAATCATCTAGCTATTTCATTTGTTTCCAGGGCCTGGACCTGAGCTGAGCTTGGCTGATGCTCAGCTTGGTTCCGGGATTCCGGATCGTCAGGGTGATCGTTGCTGTCAGCGAAGCTGCCATTTTGACCCTCGACACCATGATCCATGATTGAGTGCTAGCTTTTCAAGTTCGGCCAAGCCGCTTGAGACGGGAATATTCTGGACCGAAAGATGCAAAAAAACGCTCCTTCCTTTCGATGAGTCCTTCGATGAGTCCTTCGATGCCGCCCAGCGCCTCCCAGGTAGGCTCTTCGGGCTTTGCGACGGCTCTTCGGGCCTCTGCTCGGGCCGACTTGACCACAGCAAGGCATCGCTGCCTGGGTTGGCCTACGTCATCAATCATCAGAAGCAAAACAAGAAGACTAGCGAAGCAAACGGTATCGAAGATTCTTGTGCTTTGGTCTCTGTACACTGCTGGCGTATACCCCCGACGAAGGATGGAATCCGTCCGGCAAGACCAGACCCGATAATTCCGGATAATATAAGGACTAAACACTAAACCCTAGACCCAAACCCTAAGGTGAAGAGCTTTTCAGGTTCCATCTCTTTTGCGAGGCTACCCGTTTGAGTCTTCCTCACGGCGGAAGGGCCGTAAACCCTGAAGCTCGAACCCTGGCTGGGGTTCCTGATCTTCGACTCGGAATTTGCAGCTGTTGCAGGGTTCAGGGTTCAGGGTTTCGGGTGTAGGGGTTAGGGTGTGGGGTTTAGGGTGTAGGGTTTAGGGCTAGGGTGTAGGGTTTCGGCTGGAGGGTTCTGCATGATGATAGCTAGCAGCAAAAAGTAGGGAATGAGATTGTTTTCCATCCTGCTTTCCCTGCACTTCCCCATCCGCGCAGCAGGGCTCAGCTGCGCAAACCAAGGGCCCTCATCCTCCATGCCTTAGTCCGAAACCCCTTAGTTGAGGCCATTCTCTACTTGGAGGTTCAGGGTACTTATAATTTAAATGCACCCGAACTTCTAAGGGCAGTTGCTAACCCACTAAGAACCCTGACCTAGGCTAATGATTGGCTCATAAGTACTTTCCTAATTACGGTTCTACGCAGGCCGTGCAGAGTCTCTCGGAGAACGCCTCGGCCTAGGTCGCGTGAGGTACGCCATCCCGCGGCTTGTCGGGAATCCTTACATGGGAATTCCGGGCCCTGGGCAAAGGGGCAAAAACTCGCCCCTGAGCACTAAACTTATAAGCCCTAAGCCCTAATGAAGCCCTAAGCCCTAACCCTACTGCTTCAAGGAGGTGGTTTCAGCGGTTTCTTAACGGTCTCAACCGAAAGCCCTGTGGGGTCAGAACGTGAGTCGTCATGTTTCGGCAGCACTGGCATACACTTGCTGATATTTTATAGGGAAAAAATCGCAAATATATGTAAGACGTACAGTAAGATATCTCTTTCTTATGTGTGTGTGTGCGTGTTGTATTAATCATCTTTCAAAGCGAGTTTGAGAGGCCACTGGAGTGTTGATTTACAGGCTTGAGACCTGTGCCGCAGAACCATGCGACAAAAACCTGTGGTCTTGGGATCGGTGCAGAATTCGAATTTTGGGGCTGTTTCTTCAGCCTCTCAGGCGGAGTGTTGGAGCCCATGACAGTGTCATAACTCTTGTCAAAACACTGTGTTGCTTATGCAGATGATGATTGGCGTGCTCGAATTTTTGGCACCACCAACATCAACCTTTGAAGGTCTCACTAACACCTTCCTGACCTGCTTTGTCACTGGTCCAGGGCAAAGCGACTTACAAATGTGCATCTCATGGTCGCATTGTGCAGATTGTTAGACAGACAGAAATGTGTCATGTGCTTGCGCAGTGTTCGCCGTGATTCAAGCTGCATTGCATTGCTTTCCCATCGAGACCTGTGCCAAGTTTGCCATGGCGTTGGTGTTGAGTTTGAGTCTCATTCTCTCAGGAGTGGCTGCCCAATATAATGAGGAGCCAGGAAGCAAGTTCCCCACTCCCACTGTGGAGAGCAACTGCTTCCAAGACAATTTGGCAGACAATCAAGTCTACTACCAGAAGGTGAGCCAGATGTTCAATGGTTCCTCAACACTCTGTGCTCCACT